TCTGATTTTTCGTAGAATTCATCTTCGCTTGAATACGGAATAATACTAATAGACTTCTCTTCTGAACAATTCATCTCAAACAAAATTAGATGTCACTTCGCCTTCAATTTTACTTTCGTAACTGGAAAGAAAATTATTTGTTTGACATGTATTTTTAATTTGTGTTACACGTGCCCGTCCCAATAAAATATTAGGCTATGTTGGCTATTGTTACCCGTGTTACATGTGTTACATGTATTATTTGAATGGACATTTTTTGGTACTTAATTGTTAGGCTATGTTGGTTTGTCTGGCATAATTTCAACATTTTCCTTTAAACAGGACACCTATCATTTCGGGTTGACATCTGATCCGTTACATGCTTGAACGGACTGATTAAATGGCTATTGTTATACAGGTGCTTTGTATAATTTGCGGATGGAACATGACAGTAGCAATCCAATAAAATATTACCACAAAAAAAAAAGAAAAAAATTACCTGGACGGGGGCAATAGGTACATCAGTCTGAGTAGGATGGAGGGTAAGAGGAGGATCACCCGCTACACTTCTAAAAGAACCGATAGGTCGAACATAGTTGATGTTTACTTGAATCTAAGGATAATGATTAAAAATAATCATTGTAGAGCACTTGGGGGGAAAAAAAAAGAAAAACACCCATCGGCTTAAATCAAAGAAATTACCTCATCGACTTCCGTGATGATTTTGAAGTAACTTTTTAGATTTGGATTTGCCATTGGAGGGTGAAAATGGAAGAGTTGATGTTGGAGAATTAATGTCCTAGGTTTTTCGTCTTCATTGGAGTGATAAGATGGGTTTTTCCGCTTTTAGAGTTTGAACCAAGTTGAGCTCTGTAGCTTTGACACCTAAGATCTCAACGAGCCGAGCTCGAGTCGATTGGCTCAACCCATACCTGTTAAAAATCGGTTCGACTACACATTCATCCCTGAAATATTAGTATTGACAAAAAAAAACACACGTTTTGTTACGGGAAAAGAAAATAAATAGGTGGCACGGTTTAGCCGAACTGTGAGAACTGTCTGAATCAAACTGCATCCATACCTTTCAGTTCGGTTTAAAATAGTAACCGATCAAATTTTTAACCAAACCGCTTCTAGAAAATAGTGAGGTTATCGGATTCAGTCGTCCGAACTGAAATTTGTAGTTTGGTTCGATTGATTTAGATAACCGAAAACCATACAAAATACATGAGATACAAATTATTAATAACAGGGATATAAAGTAACATATCATTATCAATTATCAGAATGTATAATTAAATTTATATTTTAATTTTTACATACTTATACTGATAATATAGTAATTTGTTAAATTTTCCTAAATAATAAACCACCAGGTGCATTATATATATATATATATATATGATTGTAACAATAATAATAATTATATGTTTCGTATCAAATCATATTCCTTAGTGACTTAGATTGTGTTTGAAATTTGAAAATAAATCTTATATTATTGAAATATTTAATATTAAATTTCAGTTTTGCTTTGGTACAATTATTAGGTTGTTTGATTGTTTATCATCTACTAAGTTTATTTTAGTTCTTAAAATTTGTATACAATTACATTGAATATTTATTTGATTTGTCTTTTCATTTACTATTACATTCACAATTTACATTATGGCGAGTGACATAAGATTTTTTCAAAAAATTTATTTAGTGTAATCAAAAGTAGTAGTTTCGGTTAAAATGGTCACCAAATCGAGAAAACTAAAGTTATTTCGATTTTCAATTTTGGTAAACCGTTTCATATAGTACAAATTTCGGTCGGTTAACTTTCTCCTTAAAGAAATAAAAAAATCCGAAATATCCGCACCGAAAACCTTAACTGAACTGAGCCCACCATTAGAATATAAAAACGAAAGTTCAACAGGAGAAAGAAGCGAACCAAATTCATGGGTGGACCACTCTTCTCCGTCTCACTTACCCTAAGAGTTCATTCATGTAAATTCTCCATTTATTTCCACGGCTTCATTTTTTTTTTTTTGAGAATTTCTTAATCAATCGCGAGGTTATTACCTTAAATTTTGATTTATAAAGAGTGATCAGAATCAACAATATGAATCTGCAATTGCAAAGTTTCTTCCAATAATTTATATGATGTATTGCATACCGTGAGAGTGCTGATATAGTGAAAAAGTTCAAACTATACTAGATGGAATGTCTGGATGTTGTAGTTATATATAGCAAGTAACAAGTGTAATTTCAGTGGTTAACTAAGAAAAAAGTAAAAGCACCATGTTTTCTGATTGGTTTAAAGCCAATACAAAATAGAAATCACTGAACTTAGCTCAAAGCAAATACGAAATAGGAAACTTTAAAACTTTAGCTCAAAGACTACCAACTACTCTAATCCTTATAAACATTTATAGTAACAGTATTGACAGTCCAAGGGTGATCTCATGCATAGATTTACAATGTCTAGCAAAGAAGCTTAACTTGGAAAGAAAACAAAGTATGCTAACAGCATCGGATGAAGTTTATCCAGCATCCAAAAAGATCCCTGTTATGCAGCAACTCCAGATCGTCTTCCTCAGATTCTTACCCAACTGTGACCATATTGGTTGGTACAAGACATGATCCGTGTATCCGGTTCAATGAGGCTTTATTATCCCTTTTCCACTTCATTGATTCTGTAGATCAGGCAGTAACAATAAGAGGGATAACAAAGTTGATGAAATTATATGTCAGATTCGCATTTTAAAACACATTAAAAGATATCCAATAACTTAGTGACTTTCTCTTATCTCAATAGTTACCTAATGAGAACTGAAAATGTATATAGATGAATCGTTCCCATTTTCACTGTCAACTTACCAATAGATTCTCTAATTGCGGCACCATATTCAGCTCCAACGCTCTTCTACTTAAAGAATAATATATCATTGTACATTTTCATAGATGGCGGAATTCCTTCATCCTACATCCAATGCAATATCTATATCAAAACATTAATCAATTATTATCGAAGAGCGGATGGAATTGAATACTCTTCGAAAGGACAAAATCCTTTGATGCGGACAAGGAAGGGTCAAAAGACTCTATCAGTAGGTTCTTCCATTCTTAGGCCCAGGATCATTATGATCTAAGGAAGAAACCAAAGTGTTAGGACTTTTCTTGGGTTAATCCTTTATTAAGCATCAATTTAATTAGTCTATTATTTTCAGTAATGATTTTTAGGAAAGGGTATTTTAGTATATTAACTATGTTGCAGGATTATGGAATAAAAAAAAATTAGGTGTGAATCCTAGTTATTTTTTGAATAGGTTAATTTTTAGGCCTATTTATTTATATGTACCTCATATGAGGAGAATTTTCTGACTATGACTAATAAAAATTCCTGTGAGCTTTTACTTTCAACATCAGTTGTCTGATTAAACTAAACCCTTGGTGTGATGCCTAGGAATCCTGATGTGTGATGTCAAAAGGCCGTAAGAGTGATTTTTAGATTTTTTTTTTTTCCTTCCTACCCCTTTATCTCTGTTTCCTGTGATTTCTAAGCTTGTTATCCTACAGATTCTTTTAGTTTTCTGCTGCATACTACCCTTTTAGTCTATATCCTAATTTTCTTAACCACCTCGTTTGGTGCTGCGTCATCCTTTCAAGTTTGGTTAAGATTTTACAGTACTTCTTTTTTAATTTCACCATTATCAACTAATATATTTTATATACCAGTAAACCATACACAGTTAAATTTCTAACACCTTCAATCCTTGAGAATTTTGCCTCTTTCTTTCCTTTTAATAGAGGGACTTTAAAGTAACCCTCTTTGCAAGTCAAACCAAAGTAAATTAAATGGACTTCCCAAAAAATCAAATGAAGAATAAGAATCTTCTTGAGGTCAGCTACATTCATCTGAAACACACACTCATGCATACAGGGATGCACATATCTAATTAAAAATGTAAAGGCATTTTGTAATCTTACCTCCACGTACTTCTTCCGATTCTTGCAGCCAAAAGATTGTCTAAAAGAATTGAATATGTTGACAAGTTTACTTTTGCATGGAATGACACCATCTTGTAAAATAACTGTACATGATATGAAATAATAAGAAAAATTGTTGCGCTTCAATCTCAAGGCACAATCTCAATGACATGTTAAATAGCTGTCTTTTCACGGAAATTTCTCATTCTGGACATCAATAACAAGATTAAGACGCTTTCCATTACCTTCATCAATGTTTCAACCTTTCCACATTTCCCAACACACTGCAAAAGTTGATTAAGAGTTCCAACAGAGACAACAGCTAATGAACTCTCCATCCGTTTTGTTACTTCTATAATCATTTTCCAATCTCGCAACCTTCAATCAAATACAAACAACTTTTAGAGAACTATTAAAGATTCAGAAAATGTTAAATCTCTCTAACTAGCTAAGAGATAGCCAACTCAGTGGTAATTATTTGAGCTTACTGAGAAGAGAGAAATGTTATTTTCATTTCAACAATCCACTAATGTATGGTAAAGAACAACTACCAAAAAAATTCCAAGTGATGCTAGTGGTGGATATAAGAAATATCTGAAAAGAAAAAAAAAAGTTTTTAATTATTTACGGCATGGCATAGTGGGCTAAGTATCAATTAATTTGGGTGATTGGGCTTGGTCCAGATATTATTTTCGGCCCATTAAGTCTTCTTCTTCCCTGCTAAAATAAAACAATGCAGCGGTTGCCTTTCTTCCCTGCAGAAGCGTGAATTCCATTCAATAAACCCAACTTCCCTCCTTCCCCAGCTGACGGCGGAAGCTAGGCGGCGCCGTAGGCGGTGATTTAATTCTCATCAGGTTTGGCTTCTGAATTTATTCTATCAATTGATTGAATATTGCGGATGGTTTTTGGTTTTTGTTCTGTTTCTGCGAGTTTCTGTGTCACTGTGTATATGTGTGTGGCTGTTTTGTTGATTGAGTGTTATTTTTTTTTGGTGATTTTTAGGTTTTCTGAAAGTTCTCCGGTGTTTAATCATCAAATTTCAAAAAATGTCGTCTCTGAGGAATGCTCTCCCGAGGAGAGCTCATAAAGAACGGGCACAGCCGTGAGTAATATTAATTTTTCTTATGTAGTGTGTTTTTTTTTTAGATGAATTTGTGTCTTCTTCTATTTTCTGACTGACTATGGAATTTTTGTTTTAATTATTTGCAGGCAAGCTAGGAAGAAATTTGGACTTCTAGAAAAGCACAAGGACTATGTTACTCGTGCAAAGGCTTACCACAAAAAAGAGCAGACTTTACAGGTATGCTTTTGGTTAATTAGTGATAATCTCTGTGCCAATTGAATGTTGTGGATTCAGTGGTGTCTCTCAGTCTTTGTGTAGTTTTTTTTTTCTTCTGATGTGAGGATGTTGGTTTGTGTGGATGACAGAAACTCAAAGAAAAAGCGGCATTTAGGAACCCAGATGAGTTCTACTTTAAGATGACAAGAACCAAGACTGTGAATGGAGTTCATATGCCTGAGTAAGACATTTAGTTTACTAATAAGATTATCCTGCGGAAGTTTGATTATTTTCTGTCAATCCAATTTTGGCTGAATTGGGACTTGTAAATTGTCTTCTGAAGGAACGAGGCTAATAAGTACACTCCTGAAGAACTCATGTTGATGAAAACCCAGGATATGGGCTACCTTTTGCAGAAAATTCAAAGTGAAAAAAGTGTATGTTATATTTATGAGAAGCTTCCTCTTCGTCACACATTTGTTATGCTTGTTTTCTTGTCGGTTCCTTCTTGAGTAAACTTGAGTATTTGGTGCAGAAAATTGAAAGACTTGCTGGAGAGTTACATTCTCTGGATAATCTGCCGTCAAAGGGGCATGTTTATTATGCTGAAGATAGGTTGGCATTTTTCGGTCCATATGTGCTTTTCCTTTTTTCATGATAAAAGAATTTTCTTATCCTTATTAATGTCTATGAGTGGTTTGTTCATGTGAGATCGAAGCTGATTTTTTCCATCTCTTAAGTAGTCTTTCTATCAGTTTACAGAATATATACAAAAAGTGTCTATTAAGTTGGTTTTGTAGTACATACATGTCCAAATACATGCATGTCTCCAATTGATATTTAAGTAATATTATTTGGGGATTTGATAATAGTAACTTTGTAAATTCTACCCAAGTTTTCAATTTTGTGCCTGGCTCGCTTTTTCTTTCCTCTAAATGTTATTGCTCAAAATTGATGTTTCTATGCAATACATGATCCTTGTTATGGAATATTACCGAAGTGCACCAACAGTGTAACATGATTTGTTTGAATCTAAAATCAAATCAGCCTACCTATGATTCCCTTTCCTATGTAAATAGTTGGGTAGGGGTGGGGAAAAGGCTGTGATGACATGGCTTCAAAATAACATTTTTTAGAAGTATGGTCAAGCAAAAAAGTCCGTGGTTTGTTATAAGCTCTTTATATTTGTTTGTCATGGTTTTGCTATTTATCTTGCCCGATTTCAAATGTTGGCTGGCTTGTCCAAATTTGTTATTCTTGTTTGGGATTATGTTTCATCAATAGGTTGATTTGGTAAAATTAGTGACATTTGTTTCTTCAATGTTTCAGACTTTTAACTGACCGTTGCCTAAAAATGTTGCACGGGCTTACTCACATTTTTATGACAAACTTCTGTTACAGAGTTTCATGCATGTTTTGGTTTTTCTTTCTCAGGGAAGAGGCAAAAGAACTGCAGTTCAGAACATCGTCAGACACCCCAGTGTCTGCATCTGAGAACTTGCCTGCTCGTATAAAGCGGTAATTCATGTTCTTAGGCTGGATGGTTTGTCTTAATTTCTGCTTGCCTCGTAATCTTCATGCACTTCGTTCAATATATTAATATTGGTTTTAGATGGTTGCTTTTGGAGTATTGATGTCTCTGATGACATAGATGACCATGATTTATCTTGTGTCTGCATTGTCCATGATTGAATACAAAAGGTGGCTTATGTCTTCTGGGTGCTCTAGTGAATCCCTGATTTTTGGGTTTATTTTCTTGTTAGCAAGTTATTTTGCATAGATGAACTCTTAGTAGGTAAATATGTTTTGCTGAGAAACAGCGGTTAGATATAAAATTAATGGCTTTTGCTTGCTGAACCTTTGAAAAGAATCAAATGAACATCCTTTTTATTAACTATTAGATCTTTAAGAGATAATGCATATATGATGAAGAAGGAACTGGACTCTGAAGAGTTAGATTGCTGAGAGGAAAATAGGAAAAGGATTCATTTGTGTCAGGCTTTTCTTTAGTTTTTGCTGGCTTCACCTAGCTGTTCCTGAGCAATGTTTAGAAGGTATAGATTACCAAAATTTAGTTTCTTAGACCTGGGAACTTGTTGCAGAGATACCCTGCCACAGTGAAAGTTCTTCCTCAATGTGGATATGTCAATAATGCAGGCCTCATAAGCTTCCCATGCTTGATCGGTTTCTAATATGGATAGTTATAATGGCCCTTTGGTTTTTTTTTTCGCTTTTGTTTTTTCCCATTTTTTGGGGATCAATAATGGACTTCAAATGCCCCCAAGATTTCTTCTAAGCGTTCGAGCAATCTGAGCATTGAACTGGCCCAGCTGTTCTTACACTTCTCTTCATCAAACATGGGTTGTATGTAGGGCGACAGCTGCTTCCTATAGGCACCTGGAGAGTTCAAAAAGTAGAGTACGTGACTTGGAGAAATTGTACATGGATATGGCCATGCAAAAGGAATTACAGGTTTTGGCTTCTCTCTGAGTCTGTTGATGTTTATTCCTAATCTTCTCTTTCCGCTTTGATATTGAAATTCTCTTATGCTGGATCAGAAAAAGGGCAGGAAGAGGAAACTTCGTGAAGACGAAGTTATCTCCCCAACAAGCAAACCTGTGTTTAAATGGCGCCCGGAAAGAAAAAGATGAAGCATGCAGGCATTTTTAGAAAATATTGAAAATCAGAAATGTGACAATGGTATGGAATGGAGCTGCATTTCAAGAATGCGAGGGACCTTTTTGAAGCATCTTTTTCTTTTTCTCGATTAGTCGGATGAACGAGTAGCATTCTCCGTTTGAAATTTTAGGTCGTTCTGATTGTATGTTCATGTAGTGTATACAGCAATGCTTTAAGTTGCTACTACACTTACAGCCCAACTCGGTCACAAGTGTTGACTTGTGCCTTTTTGTATGGTAAACTATCAAATTCATTCTATATTGAAGGGAGTGAGACCATTTGGTTCAACATACTCAGTTCAGTGTCTTCCGCTTTTCTATTATTATCATGTAAAGTAACTTCCTCCACAAAATTAAAAAAAAAATAAAAATTACTTTGTTCAATTAATCTGGTACATTGGCAACTTATTCCTTAATTTGATGACATTGAGGTAAAAATGGTATTTTAATAAGATTATTTTTTTAAAAAGAAAATTCTGCTCAGTTTAATAAGAACAAATAAATACAAATAATTTATGATAATTGGTGAGAGGGTTATTTTTTTTTTTTTTTTTTTTTTTGGACACAAGTGAGTGGGTTAGTTGGGTGAGGTTGTAAGAAAGTTGGATGGTGCAATCTAATCTAGTTTTAAGGCGACATCACATTTTCTTTATTTAGTTCATGAAGTTCCCATATTGCTCCAAATTGGATTTCAATTGTTGTCCCAGTTCATGAAGTTCTTCACCTCTTTTCGACCTTCATTTTGCAACTGTTGGCGTTGTTAATTAGTTCGAGGATGTTTGATAGCTAATTTGTTTTCGGTTTGATGTCTAAAATTTATTCATGCGGGAAGAAGCAAAAATATCGGTAAATCTGATGAAACTTCGAAGTCTATTATACTACACCGAACGCAAATATAAATTTTATTAAACTATACGTTTATCGACCTGATTTTGTGGCCATTGAGAGAAATCATTCTTCTAACTGATAACCTTCGACTTTACTATACAAATTAAATTGATTATTCACGAGACGCTAACTCGAAACCCTGAAAATCCCAACGATGAAATAGTAAACTCTTTCAAGTTACAACTTACAACATGTTGGATGTAACTTCTCTAAATCCTTCTCCGGTACATGATTTGAACCTGGTTTTCATCTCTTGCATCTACCAAGCATTCACTAAGTTCGCCTACCATTCATGATCTACATGCTGAATTAACAATAACAAAACTTAGACTCGCGGAACTTACCATTTCAAAATTTTTTGCTTACAGATTGAATTAACACAACCAGGATACAGATTTTGGTCAGCTACCAACCTCTTTGCCGCAACAATGCCAACAGGCCTCTGGCTCTCTATCTCCCTCTCATTCTCAGCTATGTTGCAACTTTTCTGCCATCAATCAATGGCGCTGCGGCACCACAATACAATCATGACAATTGGAGTCTCCAGTTAATTTTGCACATATTCACCCTCCATCCTTGTCACGCCAACAGCATTGCTCAAAATCTCCAGCATATCCTTTTGCATGGCAATCTCTCACTTCTGGAATTTCGAACGTTTCTTCCCTACCCTTTTAAACTTGGATGACTGCGCAGCAGGTTTGTGACTGTCGCCTTTAGGATTTTTGTTATTTTCTGCCCAATGCACCTTTCTCTTCCCACCTGATTGAGTCTTAAAAGCACCTTCCCTTTTGTCTCTGCCATGTGGTTTAGATTTCTGTCTATGAGGATTTTCCTTTCCTTTCATGAACTTCTGTGTATCAGTATGACCAGAAGAATTATAGGGCTCTTTGGCACCATATTTCGAGCCCTTGGGTCTCTTGTCCCTTGGCCTTTCTCTGGAAACCTTGGAGCCGCCTTCTTTAAGTAAAAATGTAGAATCTTCATGCTTCTTCCTCTTCAACCTTAAAGATGAACCAAGAACAGGTAAATGCAAAAGTAAACACATTCGGGCCCTAGAGTCTGTACATACTCAACAGGAAATGCAAAATTAAAGATCATTAAAAAAAAAAACTGAAGAGTTTCAGGATCAGACCCTCTTGGGGACGAATCTGAAGGTTTTGATTCATTCTCGCTAGTGCTGGTATCTTTAGAAGTTGTCTTTCCATGACGATTCTGAATAGCATAAAAAAGAGTAAAGGCATTAGCAAAGAGAAGGTAAACCAATTTGCTTGCTCTATTTTGGACCTTTGTGACCTCTCTTGGTCAAATTACGATATCAATATCAAAACGAGGAAAGGAAGAACTATCATACCTCCAGGACACTCTGTAGAAAATCTTTATACTTCAGGGGTACAAGTGACTTGACCAATGCCACCCCACATTTCCTAACCATGATTTCCAAAATAACAATGACCTGTTTTTAGAAAACCAGAAGTATGTTAATAAAAAATCTCGAGGAAAATCTAACAGCTGCACCAGAGCTCTTCTAAGGAGAAACATAAGGATCAACTCCCTTCCCCATGTCATTTAGTGCAGCACAGCACTACTCAGAAACATATGCATTTATTTCCACTTGTACAAAGTAACTCAAGATAAGTCCATGAACACAGAAAGACGAGTACAGGCATCCTTACAGTTGCAAGCTAACAACAAGTGCTTAATCAGATGGAGCACAAAAGAGATATGATCATTAAATTGGACAGATGAAGCAGAAAAGAGATACTACTCACTACACTACCAAAGATTGTCTCCTTCCGAAAATGATATTGCAGTCTCACTTACACTCTGAATTATATGACTGTCTGTGAGAATACAAGTACACAACTGTTGCAGTCTACCTTTGATCTAAAATGATGGCGAGAATTGGATGACCAAGGTAAAATTCCGGAGACAATGTCAGGAAGATAACTTTGCAAATCCTTTGCTTGAATGCTTGACACCAGTACTTTCACGAATCCCAGAATAGCCTAAACATGTTTTGTCCAGATAACACTTCAGCTAGAAGTTCTAAAGATGTGCAAGTGAAGATAACTAGTTATCAAATGTAGCATATTCATTTTGGCCCTTCTGTTCAGTGATACCAACATAAGCAGAGTGCTGTCTCCGTAATAGTTCTCAGTGCTATCTCTATACTTTTTTCTACTATAATTGAAGTAATATAACATTACTATATACCTAGCAAACAACTAGTGAAACTAATCATTAAGGGAAACTCACTTTTATGACTTCAATAGATTTCTTTTTCATTTGCAACAATTCCAAAACGGACGGAATCAATTCAGGCACTGAGATGCAAAGATCGATATCACTGTAAATGAGCACAGACAATGCAGAAACTGCCCCACTCTTTATGTGAGGGGAGGAATCCGCAAGATAACCAATGACCTGATTAAACAAAGAACACACTCATCAACACAAAGTCACAAATGTACTTAAACAATGAACAGAAGATGAAACAGATATCTGCAGCCAGTGTTCCCCGTAAAATAAATTTTGAAATTTTGATAACTTTAACATGAAAAACAAAAAGAAAATGGAGGAAAGAAGTAAAGGAAGAAGTGTGCCAGGAAAAGATTGATATCATCACACACTTTGATGCATAATTTGATAACATTAACATGAAAAAAAAGGAAAAGGGAGGAAAGAAGGAAAGGAAGAAGTGTGCCAGGAGAAGATTGATATATCTCACACTTCGATGCACAAGCAGTAGGAACATGGCTAAACGATTAAAATCACAAAGCCTTTACCATATTGATCAGCTTCTGATGAAGTCCATCATCAGAGGAGTTTGAATTTTTTCGCAAACTGGCATTAACCTCAGTAAGCATGTCGTAAGCTGCTTTTCTGCCTTCTTCATTCGACTGACAAACAAGCAATAAGACAAACATGGTATCATCAGAAACTCATAACACAATTCAATGTCATAAATTTAGGTCTTAAACACCCCTTATTTTGGTACATGAAATTCTTAAGATGTATTCATTCACCACAACCATTCCTTCACATAACCTTTGCAAGTAGTGAATGGTTATTCACATTTCAGTGATAAGTTTATCATCAAAACAGCATATGATGCACAAGAAACCACTTTAAACTAATTAACACTGTGTACTCTCTTTTCGCACTAAGTCTCTTAAGAAGACTTCTTTCGAAATAAAGAGCTATTTTTCAACTGGCCTTGTTTCTTTGTAGTTGCCAATGCAAGTTGCATTTAGGCCATTTGCCTAGCCTAATCATTTTACTGTACTGAATTTGAATAATGCAAAAATTATCATACATCTTTTAGCGCAACAATGATCTCGTTCAGGATAAAAAATGCCTGGGTGTTCTCCTCATCCAAATTTTCCTGCAGAAGAAAGCATAACAAGTTTAACAAACATTGCATGTACATCAAGAAATACATGCATACGCCACTTCATAGATGCCCTGTTAAGCTTTTTATGCAGTCAGAAAAAGCAAGAAGACCTAACTACCCACCTTTAACGCATGAATCAACAAGGTACGGAGACAATTAAAGCGGCTTTTTAGGGAAGCAATATCTGTTGGAGATTTCAGTTTCAGTAATAGTTCCATCACCCCAACAAACTGTGCAGAGCAAAAGGCAGCATGTTTCTGCAGACAGAGTTAAAAAGCATCAATGATTCAGAGGTTCATGAAATTTTCAAAAATCCCATAATGAACTTAACAAAGCACACCTCTAAAATACTGCTGAGCGTTTGATATGCTTCAGGCAGACCAGTTCCTTCAGTCACCTAAAAATATATTTTATTCCCCTAATGTCAATCATTAGTTCTACAAAGCATCGTCCACAAAATGTTTCTGCATAAGCATACCTCTAAAGAATGACAAGTAAACTTAAACAGCAGATTTATCAGTTCCTCACTGGCACCATCAACAACACATGATGCTAGTTTCAGCAATAGGCACCTGAAAATAATAGACAGACGATGTTGGAAGATGATATGAAAAAATTATTGCTAAAAATAAAAATGCGCTGAATGCACATTAGTTTAACATTACAAGATAGGAAGTCTGGCTGTGTCTAGACAGACATGGCAAGAAGTTGTAAATAAAGTTATTCTTCCACCAAATTATACAGCTTAACAGCTGTTAACCTAAAATTCTTAACCATGTGAGTCACAAGGCGCCATTTAAATTTTGGAGAAAATCTACGAACAACAGGAACAAGCATAAAAATAATAGATACTCCGGCTGCTCTGGGAGAATCAGCTCTGCCTGCACATATAAACGCATGCATGCTATAGATTACATTAGTGCCTAGACTTTGTACTTCCACAATACATGTCCAACAACTGACAACATACAGAACATCTTAACTAACAATATGGCTGGGAGTTGCTAATCATTTCCCAGTTTTTCATAAGCTTTCTACTGTTATTTTCTTTTTCATAGAAAGTGCCTCATGGAAGAACTTCTCAGTAATTCCGTTGTGGACCTTTTTAAACTATCAATGATGTTTCTCTGAAAACTTTCTAGCCCGCGCCCCCAGCTTACCAATGAAACAAACACTTTCAAAGGACTAACTATTGGATTACAGAAACTTTGGCTCAACCACTCAAACAGAGACAAGATCAGAGCATGCAATGAGAACAGGTTTTGTTAGCCACGCATAAGCATGTTTTCTTTAAATTCAAAACATAATTATTATAGACAATATGTAGCTTAGTCTTTTGCAGACCAGATATCTCGGAAGCGAGAACTATATTATCAAGTCTACAGCTTACTAATCCACATAGTGTGCAATGCTGAAGCCTCTTCCTATTCTTGTACTGTCTCATATGCAATTTTGGTAGTAAGGTTCAGTTTGTTAAAATGTGTTTAAAGTGTGTAGAGAAATTCTCTTCAAATAATGTAGGAGCCTTCATAGTTTAAATCAAGGGGGAATGATTTTTTGAGTGGTTCTTTTTTGTTGCCTGAAAAAGAATGTAAACTTTTCATGTAAGAAGGAAAAAAACAAACATGCCAAGTCTATGGCAATAGGTCATCCCACCCCAACACTGCATTGTAATTTCTTAAGGACTAGAGGGACCATGCAGCCACTAAACTAGACTGACATTTCCCATGGCCCATACCCTTCTTGCTTGCAGATCAGACCCATACCATGTGGCTAGTCCAACCAGGAATAAGAATTCATTTCAGCTGACTGGTGTGCAGAACATGATTTATATCAGCAAGTCTATGGACTGTTCTACATTAATGTTGCTAAAAGCACCAACACCTAGAGATATATCAGGACATTGCAAGAGGATATTCAAATGAACATTAAACAATGCAAGTAGGAAAACTGTTGTTAGACTATGACGAGTTAATGAATATTGGGTGAACTACCCAAAGTGTAGCAGTCACAACTACACTATGAGACTGAGGGTTACAATAAAAAGGACAAAAGAAAATGACATCAAGGAACAAGCAGAACCATCTAACTTCAAAGTTAAATTATTCACCTAGCCGCATGTTTTTCAGGGGAAGTTGCATTGGTTTCCTTGCTTCCATCTGAACTGTCCATAAGGAACTCCAGCTCCTCAGAGCCACCCAGATCTTTGATGAGCTGAAGCCTCTTAAGTGAAGAAAAATAAATGCTTCTGATAGTTGAAGGATCAGAAATGGATGCCAAGCACCCTATTACATCCTGAGATTTGAAAATGTCAAAACAATAGAACAAGACAAGAACAAGAAATAAGAAAATAAAAAAACCAACTCCAGATATCAATTTTAGCAGTTCAAAGAATCATCAACTTTGAGACCCTCTACTTCTGATTGAACCTATAGGTGACCAAAAGATTTTCTGTTTTGGTTCTCCGAAAGAAAACTAGGTGAACAAGTTTTAAAGCAAACAAATAAAGAAAAAGGAGAGGAGACAGTGAAATATGTGGATGAAGACACGGTAGAAAGAATTACAGGCCAGTGATTCTAGTAAAATCTATAGCCTTTTTGCTATTTGTTTTACAGCACAGCTCAAGCATCCAAGTTCTGTTCAAGTACTTATTAGATGTAGTTGTTCAACATCATTGGTTTAGCCATTTTTCTTCTGATTCAGAAAAGCAGGATAAGCAGTCTTTCCGTCTGTCTGAATTTTGGTTTTTCTCACATTGAATTTGTTCAATCCCACACAAGATCTCAATGGAACAGACCTCGGAGGATAAGCAGTTAAAATAAGAACAACTGATTCTTGCATGAAATAGGGCCAAGTAGCAAAAGGAGATTCCAAGATGTTCCAACTAAGATTTGAAAAGCTATTAAAAAATTTTCACAATAGCAACAGTAGAAAGATAACCTTCAAATTTTCATGCCTATCAGATGGCAACTTGAAGAAGACGTCTATCAATGCCCGAAGCAATTCTTCGGAGCATGATGCCAAAGCCCTAATGTTCTTGTTTGCAATCTTCTTAGAGTAAGCATGTTTACTCCAAATGTTTTCAGGAAAGTTTTCACTCTTTGGTAATTCTGTTACAGAATGGTCATCAGATGCAAGTACCTGTTTGTTTACATTCACTAGTTCCTACAAAAACAAGGTCAGAAAGTAGGTCAGGAACAATGTCACATTGAAACAATTATCAGGCTGCACACTAGAGAAAAGACAGAGGGAATCAAAGTTTCAAATAACCAGACCTGCAAGGAAACAGCAATATATTCAAGCCTAGGGGAATCCTTGATAAGAGAAACCAAAAGTTTGGCCAAAGATCCAAAGTGTTTGTACGTGTCAGTTGGAAAGCGACAGAAGGCCGGTAATAGTTCCCAACAGTTGTTGGCATAGGTCTCCATTTCTTCCCCTGGCAGGAACATAATTACATATGAAGGCTTAATATCACAGGTACAGTTACTATCAGTGTAGACTTGAAGAAAAACAACAAAGGCAATGCAACAGACTAAATACAAGTAAAGGCAAGATCTTAACCCCTCGTTTGGAAGTTACGATTTAATATATCAATATCAAATGCATATATTTATTTTATGCCAGAAAATCCCAACAGCAAAAGAAAAGCAAATGAGAAGCTAAAGATCAAGGATAATTTTCACCCTTAACAGGGTGCAAACGATATGTCAAATCAAGTGGCACGGTGACAGCACACAGGAGGAGCATGAAAAACCAGTTGACCTTCAGTTAGTATATACAGCAACAGGACTATCCAATTTCAGCCATTTAAAAACCTTTAAGTATGATCAACTCCAGAAGAAAAGAGATTATTTTCCCAGAAGATAAGGTCCTTTGATAATCCTATCTTGTAGATGCTTTTGACACCAATGAAAAATTCCAGACTCCTCTACTGAACCAAACTAGCAGAAAACATGAATCAGGATCTGTGTTTCCATCCAGTCCTACATCTCCATTAAAGGTTTCTAGGGAACATAACAGTACGGTCCCCGGAAGGGATTCACTCCATTAATCTTTTGACAACCGAGGGAAAGCTCCAATCCTTGCAAATGAAATAGAACTAAGCCCAAACAAAGAACGTAAAGCAGCAAGTTTTACAATTCAAAATATGATCAATTCCTATAGCACTTAAAATTTCCACTACTGCAACTTAAACAACCGCATAATTGATTATGAATCAGAAAATGTTCATATATTCACCATACCTTTCATAGACTCTCGTTGAAATGAATCTGCGAGAGTCACAAAATATTCCATGAAGAACTGAAGAGATGATCCCACTACATAGTCCTTGAGTATAGGAATTAGCCAAAGGTTTGAACACGAAAAATCTTTGGGATTGAGGGAGATAGGCAGCAGAGCGAGTAACTTTTCAGGTCCCATGGATACAACAGCAGCTCCTATACATTTACGAAGCTGCAAAGAAAGAAATTTTTGTCACAGAACCTTCTAAGTGCACATATATGGTGAAGAAATAGTATGATCAAGTAGTCCCACTTCCAACACGTCCAAGCGACTGAAATAATTCTAAGACCTAAAATCCACTTCTTCAACTCTAAAAACGTGTCACTTACATGCAAGAATTACAACTTGTTGGCAACCAAATGAACAAAAGCGACGTAATAACTCCAAAAGTCCAGAAAATACATAGTCATCCTATGTTTCCACCCTTCCCAAAAGATGAAAATATTCGTTATTAAAACTTTGGAAAAAAATATTACCATAAAATTCTTTACTACATAATATAATACAGAAACCCCGGCTTCTTTACCAGAACTTACAATCTATAACAAATAAATATGTTTACGAAGCAATGAGCTCATGCCAAACAAGATATATGTCACCAAATTAGGACCAAAGGATACCCTCTTCGTATCCTACTAAATAAATGCAGAAGGAATATCAGATTACAGTACTATGCAATTCATCAAAAAAATGCAGTGAAAGGAAAAGGAAATGCATTACCGATATGGAAATGCTACAGAATCAGATAATTCACACCAGTTTGCGACCAGCAACGTTTTAACTCAATTTTCATTGAATCATGAATCATAAAACCATTTCCTACTATAAGAACCAAGAAAATGAAATGATTCTGCAAGAAAGCGCCTTTAGAAAGTTGTTTTGGGGAAGGAGGTGCGTAAGGGGGTTCTGCCGGGTGGGGACCTTACTAAGAAGACTTGATTTTTGCAGTTATAACTTACATTTTCGGTGTCAGAAGCGCTGATGGATGAAGATTGCATCACTTCCGCTAGTTTGAGTACTATACTCTTCATGTAAATGCCTGATTCTTCTCCTACAATCATGTATGGAAAGATGAGATAAAACATGGACAAATATCATCCATCCCATAATAAATTTTAAAAGAAGAATAAATTTAAAAAGTCTATTTAGCGGGACATTGGTATCCACTTTCTGGAATTACCACCATTACTATGTAATGAAGAAAAACAAAGTAAGCTAAAACATGAAAGGTGGGTTTTGGAAACTTTCCAGATTTTTCATAAGAGTATAGTTATATGGAAAGCTGCTAATAGATAACATTACTTCAGGAACGTCTTAAATTACAAGAAGAAATGTCTTAAAAAATTCAATCATATACCCAACAGGTTTGCCGCAGGTAAAGAATTTAAGTGAGAACTTTAATAAGATGTTCCATGCTAAAAACTTGATATCCAAGGTGAAACATAAAAAGCATAGCTCTAAGCATAAACGAATTCAAGATTGCAAGGGTACATAAAAGGTAGATTCAAGGACAATGTAATGCTTATTATTAAAAAAAAAAATAAGAGAGAGAGAGAGAGAGAGATCAGTATTAACAATTTCATAAGCTAATACCAAAATTAACTAGTGATGTTAACACAAAATGACATCCTAAAATAAAAACATGGGTTTTCTCAGTAAGATGACCAACTTTTTATGATACGTATAGGCTATAAGATAAAGGCTAGTCTGAAAAAGCATTATTGACAAGGTTACTCAAACAGGATTAGTGAGGGTCAGGAAAGAAAGAGAGCGCAGACTACTTTAGGTGCAACTACAGAGGAACTACTAATTTTGACTTACCAAGTCTTAAAAACAAAACAGAGATGACTCCCAATAAGTACTCATTTGGAACAACTTCAGCTTTCAACAAGTCATCAAAGATTCCACATACAGATTTCACCGCTCTTAGCCTACTGCGGCAGATAGACTTATCTCCTTCCAACTGAACATCAGTTTCCAATACTAACTTTGCACCCACATGTTGATTGATTAACTCTTTAAGAATATTTGCAGCCTGCAAAGCAGTACCAGCCTCAGAACTGAGAAGACCTAAAAAAGCCAAATAACCAAGTTCTTATTAGCAATTTCACACATGAAAATATATACTAACATTATCACGAAAACAGCACACAGGTGGCATCCATTTTCTTTCACTAGTAGCTTTAATCACAAGGAATGTAGGGAGAAACAACACATTTTAGGTTGAAAAATACAAATAATGAAAGCTAAAGTTCGAACATACAGTGAAATCCACCAACAACTGCAATAGAAAAAGAAGAAGAGCGAGAACATGCCTGCTAGTGCACCGATAATTGACTGTAGAAGACTGTTCCGCTCTGTCATATCAGTTGCATGAAGTTTATTGATAGCATGTTTCAATAAATTAGCTGCGCAGAGTACTAATTCCGAAGGATTGTTCTCTTTCGAGGATATGTATGAGACAAGATTTGTGATAACCTTTTCAATATCACGAGCAATGACTTCAACAGTAGAAGTTTCAAACATAACTTGAATAATTTCAAGAATATGCTTTGACAGTGCCGCATATTCACAGGTCAAAAGCTTCAACAGCCTAGAAAGCACTTTTGCACAGACTTTCTTGGAAAGATGGGGAACAATACTTTTCAACAGATTTAACATATGCATAATTTCTTGGAGATCGGGCTTGGACATTAAATCAACTCTGGAACCATCTACAGCCTTTAAATCACTCTCTTTTGCTGCCAATGATATCTGATTCTTTAACATTGAGTGTAATGTTCTGCTTACCTCCTCGATTACAACCGAAGCTTTCAACGACTTAAAAAGAGCTAGTAGACAATCCTGAGCGCATTTTCGTACCTGAATAGATAATTCGGAAGGAAATAGGAATAAGTTTAACAGTTTGAAGTAGCTCTAGAGTCACCCAACACAACAATATAGAGAAAAGATTACTAAATTGATATTTTCTAATTAATATTTCTATTCAAAAATCGGCAACAGAAAATTTCAGTCGAGATATTGGATGTTTATCACAGTTTCATTAATATATAAAAACTCATGTAACCAAAACGCCATTTGATCATAAAAGAAAAGTTTACCTTGGGTCGCTTATCAATGGAGAATTTCAAAAGAATTTCAAACCCGAGTTTAATAGAATCCCAATCCGCTAAATTGCAAAATCCTAGTAGAGCACCTAAAGATTTGACCAAAGACCTCACATTAGCATTCCCAAGAGAAGCCTTATTACCACTCATATTTATTCTTTCCACCAGAACCTCAACGGCCTCCTTAGCTTTATCCGGCGAGATAGCACTTTCCGGTAACAAAGGGAGGACAATAGTCAGGAACGAAGAAACCGCGGCCAAGGCGTTGGAGTCCAATTGGGCAGTTTCATCGGCGAGGGTCGAAATTGTGGCGGCGAAGTACGAGAATGGAGTGAGGTCGAGTGATTCTGACTGGATTAAAGAACGAGTGGCAGCCGCAGTCGCGCAGAGGTGGCGGTGTTGCGGAGCCGAGGAGTTGCCGTAACGGTCGAGGAGCTGTTGGCAGATATCGGTGGCGCTTGAAAAGCCCTCCATCCCGTCGTGAAGGCGTCGGACGGTAACTGTGGCGGTGGTGGAGGTTTAGGCAGGGTTTTGCAAGAAGTCAATTTTGTTCTTGCTTTTTTTAACGGTAAATCAAAAGCAACTGAATGCGTGATTTTTCTGTCTGATCGTTAACAGGCTGTAGCTGTGGAGCGTCCTAAGTTGAATCATGGGCCTAAATTAACCAGTTAACGTTACGGCCTAAATTAACTATAAAAGTCCGTAAGATTACTAGCATTTTGATAAAGTAAAATGAGATACTATAACCTAATACTACGGTTGATCATCCTATACTCTAAAAGCATCCACAATTATTTATACTGTGAGTATAATTTTATAAATTTTTAATTAGATGTTACCCGTACGATATGCGGGAAAAAAATTCACGCTTATTCTCTCATTAGATAAGAATAAATATGATTATGGAATGTAAAAAATAAATCAGTTGTTTATTAACAAATTACTTTTCTACATACATAATAAACATTTCACATAATGGTTAATATTATCGACAATAAACAACATGTTACATACTAAAAAGGTCATATTAACAATATATTATAACACTTAGGAACCGTCTAACTCATCAACTTCATTTGAATCTATAGAAATTGTTGACCGCCTATGAAAGAGTTTACTTTAGAATATTATGAAATATTGATTAAAGGTTTAGATGAGGGAAAATTTGTATGAAAATAATATGTAACTTTTGTAGGTTTCTGATACTTAACAAAATCCCATAGTCAAATCCGTTTTCTCCTTAATTAATGAACATCATTAACTTCTAACTAAATACAATTTGTACTCCTAAAAATAATAAAAATCTAATCCAAGAATCATTTCAATACAGAAACTGTATGCATTTCAACTTGTATTCTTATTTTATTTAATGAAATTAGTTTTAAATTTTTCTTTTGTCTTTTTTTTTTTTAAAAAGGCTTTCATTGATTCCACACTCTTGAATAAACAGTTTTATTAAGCACATATAGAAAGATGAGATAAAATTTTCTTTTGGTGAATGATTTAATTTGTAAATGTAATCTTCCATTTTCATTTTATTTTTTTATTTGTAGATGTAACTTTATAACTTTTAAATGAAAAAAATTGTATTATCGAACGAATCCAATACAAAATGGCAACTTTAAGGAAATTAGGATAGTTCAATACATCTTAAATATCAAATAATGAAATATACTTTCAAAATGTATACACTAAATTTGGAGCAGGCATAAATCTTCCTCTAGAAAAATTTATTGCAAGCAGGAACTATCTGATTAGTGTAAATATTCTCATTGGATGTTGGTCTTGAAGTGCTTGAGCTGCACAAATTCCTCAAGCTTCTAAATATTTTTCTTTATCTTAAAAAATGATTTGAAAAGATTGTTTAAATACTATATAGTACATAAGAACTCCTTTATTCTTCAAATGGTTGGCCATATTTTAAAAACTAATCTTTAAATAATATATTTTCAAGAGCCGTTTTTTCCAAGCCAAAGAATGACCCAATTTTCTTGGTCATGAAGTTTATAACAATTTTCCCCGCATTTTCCTACAAATTATAAATGACTATTTACGTATACCTGTAATGTGACAAAACCAAAAACATAATATACACACTTGTAATATAACCATCTTTTTCTTAACTCCATTGGATCACTCATTTTATTGTAGAGTAATTTATGAGCGAGATTTTTAACGGTGCTCGAGGAAATTCGATTCCTGTAATGTGTAATTCTTCTGATTTCCATCATACAATAAACATCATTGTTTTTCAATATTCTGGACTATTAAAGCTAAATGATATATCTAAATTTAAAAAATATTCATTCTCTACGCGCCGCTCACATGTCCTCAAATAGCCAATCATAACCGCAGTATGAGACGGTGAGATCAATAAGTCTGAAAATTTGGTTGAGAGAAATTGATCGGCAAATAGATCGTGCAGCTACAGCGCATGAGGTAATGACTATGGTTATAAACAACCTCCGAAGCTGAGTTCAGAATGCACTATATCCATCTATTATAAAATTATCACAATGTGAATAGTAACAAATAACCGATCATACAATTATCATCATGCTACGTAGTAAACTTACAATAGAATCAATGAACGGGAATATTAAATCAGATGAAAGGTTAGTTTTTTTTTTTTTTGTCAAAAGCGATAATAATATTTAATATTAAAAGGAAATGTAAATCAACCATATGATTGAGCAGTACAATACAAGGATTGAGCTACACAATTTAATGATTGAGCTAACACAATCTGCCATACACGACTTCTCAACCCACAGAGTAGCAGACGTGCCACTATCTGTGTACAAGTATTAAGAAGGCTAAATTGGACAGATTGAAACAACTTCTCTAATAATTAAATTATGGAATTTCCAAACAGATCTACCAAAAAAAATAATACAAAGAGAACTAATCTGTTGGATAAAGTTCCAACACCAATCTAATTCGAACTAAAACTGAATGTAATGGTAAATCTACCAAACAAACCAAGAAGTTATAGATCTGGATATTTTCTTTCATCCTTGTACCTTGGATTCCATGATTCTCCCTATACAATGATTTCTTCTTCGGTGTCACTTGGATCCATACTTCTTCCATCAGATCTGTTGGGAAACTACCTAAAAACAACAAAATAAACAAATAAAATTTCCTAAGAAGGAGGGTGAGCAAAACACCCATTAAAGGGTGAGAGAAACTCCCCGATGAGAGAGCAAAAGCATAAAACAAAGAAGAAGAAAAGTAAATTTGAGCTCCCCCATCCTCATTAATGGTGGATGGAGAAGAAGCGGGAAGAAAATTTTTTTGAAACTTAGAGAGAAGGGAAAGACTTTGAGTAGAGAGAGAGAAGGGGGATCGTTCTTCCAAAAAAGGTCCAGATGAAAGGCTAGTTTACATGTTGTTTACTCTATCGGTGGTACTGCTACCTTTACCGGCTACCGTAGTTTTATAGTGTTAAGGAGCTATGGCTGCCCAAGAAAAGATTGGCGTGGATGGGGAATTTGTATATTGGTGTCTATTAAGCGTCCGTTAATGCCAATGATAACATTTAAGTTGATTTGCCATATATTAGGATAATACTCCCTCCGTCCCATAATTATTGTCCAGTTTTACTAAAATGAAAGATTTTATTTGTGGTCAAACTTAACTATATTTTACCTTAAACAACCGGATATACCCCTTCATAAGTAATTGTTTAACCACTAAGATTTTATGGATAATGTTTTTTACTAAGGACAAATGTGTAATTTGATCCATAAAAAGTCAAATTGGACAATAATTTTGGGACAAAATTTTTTAGGCAAAGTGGACAATAATTATGGGACGGAGGGAGTATTATTTTATGAAGTTGGCTTTTTGTGAATTAATAATTTACACCAACCAAGAGATTTTGATAATATTTTCTAAGGTTTATTGATTTGATTCAATTAGATTATTAATAATGATTGATTTGTATGAGTAATTGTTGCATTCAATCTTATCTTAAAAACTCAAGCAGTACTTTTTTTTTTTTATGCCATAAGAAGTGGGGGAAATTGGGCATAATTACGGGCAATTTTTTTTTTTTTTTGAACTTTGGGACAAAAAACAATCAAATTAATGTTGATTGATTCATCAATGTCATTGATTTACGATTCTTTTTTTTTTTTTTTGACTTTGGGACCAAAAACAATCAAATTAATGTTGATTGATTGGTTATAAGAAATTTTAATTGTTCATGATTTTGTTTTTAAATTATACCTATTCAATTAACTGTCCATTAACATAAATGGGTTTAGGATAAAATTTATTTCTATAAATTCCCCAGGACTTGTTGTGTAATTGCATAAACTTTTTTTGTGATATTTTTTTATAAAAATGACATATAGGAATTTTTCCTACGTAGCAACGTAAAACTCTTCTTGAAACATCTCTCTAATTTCTCTCTTAGTATAATAAAATACTATAGATAGATAGATATTATACTTTTATTCAACTTTTAACTATATTGGTTTACACTGTAAAAGTATAATAAAGTGAAATAGTTTTAGTATCATCATAAATTCACATAAATTATATTTTAACCCCCAAAAGTGTATTATATTGTGTAAGAATTCTTACACCGTATAATAATATCACAGTACTCAACACAATAATAAATAATATAATAAATTGGTTGTTTACTAATTATTTATTACCATTGTAGATGCTCTAAGCGTTATTTAGCTCTTACGGAAATGTATGGAACAAGGATTAAGTGTTAAAACCTCCATGACCATAATTTACAATACAATTTGACTCACAGAACAATGTGCTTGATTTCTTCCTTCCAATTCTAACCAAGTAATTTTTGGTTGTATGTTTTCAAAAAAAAAGAAAAAAAAAAAAGAGAGAGTTATTTTTGCATCTCCTTACCTATTCATCATGAGTTCGGAAATTATTGTTCACTCCTTCCATTGTCAATATGCTTTGGTTGTACATCTCCGTCATTACTTGCCCAAAATCAAAAACTAGTTTTTAACTTTTGAAGCAATTTTTAACATTTCTCTTTACTAACTTTGATTAACGTGTTCTTTCATTATATATATATATATATATATATATATATATCTCCCGATACTCTTTTTAACATATCTAAGAAAAATACATTAAATATTATATCAAACTCAGTTTGTTTTTTCTTATTTAATTACTAGAACTATGTAAAATGACCATCAAATTTGTTGTGAACCAGTGGTTAAGCATTGTACACTCAACATTTCAATTTCATTTCTGGCGTAAAACCATACAAAATGAAGTAAACAGCTAACAAACACACACGCGCACACACACACACACACATATATATAAACCTAGTTAATTAAATATAATAAGTAGTCAATCGTCCTAACAATTAGAGATTAAGAAAACCGAATGTAGCCAGCTTAGGTGCACACAAGTGGAGTTCTTTTTTATGATATAAATTGATAATAATACTACCTTCTACATTAGTTTTAGTACCTTTAAAATTAAAACCTATCTGCTTATCCAAAATAGAAATTCAACTGTTTAAATTCCGAGTTCCGTAAGTTAGTTGGCCGTTATCTGAAACACACACAGCAGCCGCCAATTGGACCACTTTCTTTAATTTGTGAGAAAGAGACTTTTTCCCTTGCTGCATGTTCATGGAAAATGTCTATTTGTACATATCAACCATCAAGTGTTTTCTACCCATAACTGCATATT